AAAAAAAAAAAAAAAAAAAAAAAAAAAAAAAATGTATAAAAGATCGGGAACATAGAAAATAGAAGGAATGATTATTGACAGACAATGCTAAAAATAATAAATAAATATAATGTTTTTTCTTAGTTTATCTTATTTGTAAATTTTTCTTTTCTAATATTTTTTTAATACTTTTATGAAGTATTAAGGCACCATATATATCACTGAATCTACTGTGATACAATTTAATGCGTGAGTCTAATTTTAAAATTTAGGTAAATATTGATCCTTATTCACTTAAAAGGCATACCTTTTCAAATTAAAGATTTACATTGTTACATAGTATTCGATTATTTAATATGATTGTTTTTTTGAGGGAGAGCTTTGTCGCCCTTATGGTCCTACCCGGCTCGATTCCGGATTAGTCAGTTTCCATGTGGATTCGAAAACGGGAAGGTCCCTGTACCAAAAAAAAATATGATTGTTTTCTTAAAACAGTAAAATATAATTGTTTTCTTGAAACAGTAAAAGTTATCGTCAGTACAAAAGCATACAAACCAAACTACCAATTGGTAGAATAGGAGGATTGCTTAAGAAAGTTCTTGTTAAATTTTGATTAATTGTTTGTCTCATATCGGATATGTATCAAAGATATATAAGATCTTTTTAGTACAAATATGTCCATGTTTTTTGGGTTACATTGTACCTTGTTATTAAGGGCATGCTTGTTTATGGATTTTTTTCAATCCAATTTTTTCAACTCAAATATTTAACTCAACTTTAACTCAACTCCACTATCTTTAATATTATTCATACAATTAAATAATAAAAACCAATCATTCTTACACATCACATCAACTTTAATTCACTATTCATCCACTCACATAATTTTAACTACCAATCATTTCCAATCATTTATCTCCTACTTTATATCAAATCAACTTTAATCATTTTTATTTTAAATATTATTTTAATATATTTTTTAAATTCCACTAACAATTAACCACATTACTTTTTCAACTTTAACTATAGTTAACAAAATGAAATATTTTGGTTGAAAAAATCCATAAACAAGCGCCCCCTAATATTCTCTTATTTTAGAATACTAATTTACAGTTCCACCTTGTAACTAACAAAAAAATTATCAATAAACTATGATTTAACGCGAAATTATCAATAAACTATGAGAAAATGTTATGGTCTCGTTACGGTACCATCCCGTCGGGTGTTTTAACCGTTTGATAATCTATCTTATACTAACTTCATGTGTATTCAACAGTTAAAACATCCGACGATATAGTACCGTAATGAGACCGTAGCATTTCCCTAAACTATGATTTGAAGACGTCCTTAGATTGCGAAAGATGCCAACAACAAGACCTGGAACTTTCGAATGGTATCATTTATAGATATAGAGGGACGTACCTATATAATAGTACCCAACATTTCATCTTGATAACTTATAACATCACCTTTTTAACATATAAAGATATATGGAGGTATATATGTGCAGCCACCTCCATTACAAGGTTCCATTTGAATGCCTTTTTGAATAAAGCTATCTCGCGAAAATTCATTTTCTATTTTGTATTCCTTTTCTTTCTGGCACTGATATATTCAGGCTGCAAATGTTTGACCATTTTTTGAAAGTATGAATCACAAAGAAAAGACAAGAACAATAAAGGTGATTGTGACAACATATGTACATTTCCATTGCATAGACAATATTTTAAGGCTTTATGAGTTTTTTCCACAAATAA